ACCGGTTGAGCCCCGGGGCAGGCACCGACCCCATCCCGGTACCGGTTGAGTCCGGGTCAGGCACCGACCCCATCCCGGTACTGGTTGAGCCCCGGGGCAGGCACCGACCCCATGCCGGTACCGGCTGAGCCCAGGGCAGGCACCGACCCCATCCTGGTACCGGTTGAGTCCGGGTCAGGCACCGACCCCATCCCGGTACTGGTTGAGCCCCGGGGCAGGCATTGACCCCATCCCAGTACCTGCTGAGCCCAGGGCAGGCACCAACCCCATCCTAGTACCGGTTGAGCCCTGGGGCAGGCACCGACCCCATCCCAGTACCAGTTGAGTCCGGGTCAGGCACCGACCCCATCCCGGTACCGGTTGAGTCGGGGTCAGGCACCGACCCCGTCCCAGTACCGGTTGAGTCCGGGTCAGGCACCGACCCCATCCCGGTACTGGTTGAGTCCGGCTCAGGCACCGACCCCATCCCGGTACCAGTTGAGCCCCGGGGCAGGCACCGACCCCATCCCGGTACTGGTTGAGTCCGGCTCAGGCACCGACCCCATCCCGGTACCGGTTGAGCCCCGGGGCAGGCACCGACCCCCCCCCATGTACTCTCGTAGCTGGAGGAGAAGGAGCGGCGGCGGCGGGAGGAGGAAGAGGCGCGGAAGAAGCGGCCGCCCACCCCCCCCCCCGCGCAGCCTGAGGCCGGGGCGACCCCCCCAGCGGTCCCCCCCGAAACACAGAACGGGGGCGTGGGGAGCGGGGAGCAACGGTGAGGGGCGGGGCGCGGCGGGGGGGACACGGAGCGGTGCAGGGGGACATGGGGGGGGACACATTCAGGTCGGGGGGTGGGGGGGGGCTTGGGGAGATGGGGGCCCTGGGGGGGATACGGGGGTGACCTGACAAGGGGACGTGGGGATATCGGGGACCAGGGATAAGGGGGCGGATATGGGGGTGCTGGGAAATGGGGGGCTATGGGAGGACAGTGGGGATTTGGAGGGGAGGGGGCACAGGAGACACTGAGGGGACAGAGGAGACATTGGGGTCCTGGGGAAGGAGGGGACACGGGGGGGGGGACAGGCAGTGAGGCTCTTGGGGTGACAGTGGGGGTCCCGGTCCTTTCCCACCCCCCCCCCCCAGCGTCCCGGCCCAGCAGAGCCGCCTACCGGACGCACCGGCTGTTAACGGGATCTGCCCCGACAGCGCCGCAGCCCAGGTAACACCCCCGAGGCCCCCTCACCTCGGGTCCCCCTTGCCAAGTGGGGGACCCCCCCTATAGGAGGGGGGGCCCCCCAATAGGATGAAGGGCCCCACCACTCCTCTGTGCCCCTGCAGGTGCCGCCGGAGCCGGGGCTCAGCAATGGGGCACAGGAACGGGGTCCCGGCTCGGGGGGGTCACCCCGGGGGCGCCCGGGGGGGGTCTCGGCCCCTGACCCCTCGCACGCGGCCACGCTGCCCCCCCGCGGCCCCCCAGCCCCCGAGAGCCTGGAGGGGGGGCTCTGCCGCAAGCACGAGATGGAGGCGCAGGGCAAGAGGGCCCCCAATCGGTGAGGACCCCCCCCCCCCCTTAGACCACACCCTTGGTAACTCCCAATTGGTCACACCCTTCCTAAGCCACGCCCCCTTTTGACCACACACCCCCGTATGTCCCTATAGAGCCGTGCCCCCCCCCCCCCCAACAGCACCGTGTGTGTGTGTCCAGCCTCTGTCCCCCCCATATGGAGCCATGTCCCCCCCCCCGGCTCTGTGCCACCCTATGGGGCCGATTTCCCTGCCTCACCCCAAGTTTCCACCCTCGCCATGGCTCTGTCGTCCCCCGTCCCCCCCCCAAATCCCTGTGTGTCCCCCCCCCAATATTCATTCCCCCCCAACCCCTTTCCCCCCCCGCCAGGTCCTGGCAGAGCGTGTACTGTGTGCTGCGGGGGGGCAGCCTCAGCTTCTACAAGGACGCCAAGAGCGCGGGGGGAGCCGGGGCCCCGTTCCATGGGGAGCCCCCCGCCAGCCTGCGCGGGGCCCGCTGCCACCCCGCCACCCACTACAAGAAGAGGAAGCACGTCTTTAAACTGGGGTACGGGATGGGGGGCACGGGGGTGTGGGGGATGAGAGGGGATATGGGGGATATGAAGAGGATAAGGGAGGGATAAAGGGGGATAAGTGGGATACGTGGGGCTAAGCCCTGTCCCGTCCCCCCCCCAGGCTGAGCGACGGCAAGGAGTATCTCTTCCAGGCCAAGGATGAGGTGAGACAGCACGGGGTGGGGACACAAACACACACACACACACATCACACACGTGAACACACGTGCAGAGCCGTGTGTGAATGGCAGAGCGTGTGCACACGCATGTGTGCGGCACCAGTGGGAGGTGCAGGCACTGCTGATGCCATTGCACAGCCATTCACACGCGCACCCATTCACACATTGCGCACCCATTGACGCCCTTGCACACCTATTCATAGGCTGCACACCCGTTCACACGTTGCACACCCATTCACACCGTTGCGCACCCATTCACACGTTGCGCACCCATTCACACCATTGCGCACCCATTCACACGCGCACCCATTCACACCATTGTGTACCCATTCACACATTGCACACCCATTCACACCATTGCACACCCATTCACACCATTGCCCACCCATTCACACGTTGCACACCCATTCACAGGTTGCACACCCATTCACGCCATTGCCCACCCATTCACACGTTGCACACCCATTCACACCATTGCGCACCCATTCACACGTTGCACACCCATTCACACCATTGCCCACCCATTCACACGTTGCACACCCATTCACACGTTGCACACCCATTCACACCATTGCGCACCCATTCACACCATTGCCCACCCATTCACACCATTGCGCACCCATTCACACGTTGCGCACCCATTCACACCATTGCGCACCCATTCACACGTTGCGCACCCATTCACACCATTGCGCACCCATTCACACGTTGCACACCCATTCACACCATTGCCCACCCATTCACACGTTGCACACCCATTCACACCATTGCGCACCCATTCACACGTTGCGCACCCATTCACACCATTGTGCACCCATTCACACGTTGCGCACCCATTCACACCGTTGCGCACCCATTCACACCATTGTGCACCCATTCACACGCGCACCCATTCACACCATTGTGCACCCATTCACACGTTGCGCACCCATTCACACCATTGTGCACCCATTCACACGTTGCGCACCCATTCACACCATTGCCCACCCATTCACATGTTACACACCCATTCACACCATTGCACATTCACCCCTTGCACACCCATTCACATCCATTCATGCCGTTGCATATCCATTCACACCATTGCACACCCATTCATGCTGCTGCACACCCATTCACACCATTGCACTCCCATTCACACCTTACACATCCATTCACGCCGTTGCACACCCATTCACACCATTGCACCCCCATTCACACATTGCACACCTATTCACACCCATTGACACATTACCCACCCATTGACACCATTGCACACCCATTCATGCCATTGCACACCCATTGACACCATTGCACATCCATTCACACGTTGCACACCCATTGCACACCCATTCACACGTTGCACACCCATTGACACCGTTGCACACCCGTTGACACCATTGCACACCCATTCACACGTTGCACACCCATTGACACTGTTGCACACCCATTGACACCATTGCACACTCGTTCACGCCGTTGCACACATTGACACCATTGCACACCCATTGACACCGTTGCACACCCATTGACGCCGTTGCACACCCACGTTGCAGGCGGAGATGAGCACGTGGCTGCGGGTGATCCAGGCCGCGGCCGCGCTGGCACCGGGGTCCCGGCTGGAGGCGCCGGGGGGGCTTCCAGCGGGCGGGAAGGGGGTGACCCGCGCCATGAGCATGCCCCCGGTGCCCCCCCCCGCCGAGGGCGCCCCCCGAGCGCGGGACAAGGACCGGGAGCGTGAGAAACGCTTCAGCTTCTTCAAGAAGAACAAATAGAGCCGGGGGGGGGGAGGCCGGGACGGGGGGGGGCCCGCGGAGCCGATGGAGGGACCGGGGGGAGGAGGGGGGGCAGCGCGGGGGGGTGCGAGCCCCCCGCCCTAGCCCGGGGTCCCCGTGTGCCCCCACGTCCCGGTGATGTCGCCGCACAGCCCAACCCCAATAAAGTGACTGCAGAGCCCGGGCAGGTGCTGAGCGTGCTGGAATGGGAGGGGAATTGGGAATGGATTGCGTTGGGGATAGGATGGGAATGGGGGTGGGACGAGTTGAGAATGTGCTTGGGATATGGGTAGAATGAGGACAGAATTAAGTTGGGGGTAGAATGGGATTATAATTGGGGTGGGGTGGGAATGGAATGTGGATGGGATGGGTTGAGAATGGAATTGAGGTAGGAATAGGATAGGAAGGGGGATGGGATGGGGATATATTGAGAACGGGATTGGGATATGAATAGGAGGGGGACAGGATGGAGATAGGGATAGGATGGGATGGCGATGGGATTAGAATGCAATGGATATGGGTGGGGAAGGGATGAGGATGGAATGGGACTGGACCATGGACAGAATGATACTGGGCTGGGATTGGAACCGCAGTGGGGATGGGATGGTGATGGGATGGATGGGATGGGATGGGACGGGATGGTACGGGATGGGATGGGATAGGATGGATGGGATGGGACCGGATGGGATGGGATGGATGGGATGGAATGGGATGGGATGGGATGGAATGGGATTGGATGGGATGGAATGGGACCGGATGGGATGGGATGGATGGGATGGGATGGGATGGGATGGGATGGAATGGGATGGGATGGAATGGGATTGGATGGGATGGAATGGGACCGGATGGGATGGGATGGATGGGATGGGACCGGATGCGGTCCGGGGTGCCCGAGGGTCACAGCAGCGCTCCCCCGCCACAAAGTCCTCAATGGACCGCTCCAGCGCCCCGCCCCTGCTCGCCCGTGATTGGCTGCGGCGCGGGGCGGGCCTGACGCCTGACGGACAAGGGAGCTGCCCAATGGGGGGGGAAGTGGGCGGAGCCCGAACCGGGTAACGCCGCCGCCATTTTGTGAGCACCGCGCGGCGGACGGGGCGCAGGTGGGGGCGGGGCCGCGGCGGCGCCGGTACCGGGGTGGGGGTGGGGAGGGAACGGGGGGTGATGGGGATGGAGGGGGCGATGGGGGGGGGGGGAGGTGGGGGCCTATGGGGCGAGCGGAGGCTTTGGGGGTAGGGGGGGTTCGGGAGACAAAGGAGCGGGGCTGAGCCCCGGGGGGAGGAGTGCAGCGTTTTGGGGTGTTTTAGGATGTTTTGGGGCGTTTTAGGAGGTTTTGGGGCACAGACCTCGGGGTGGGGGGGGGGGGGCAGGGATGTGGGTCAGGGCCTCCCCCCGTGCGGCACAAGGGGGGTGTCGGGGTGGTGGTGGGGGGCTGCACACGCAGCGGCACTGACCGGTGCCCCCCCGGTGCCAGGCTGTTCGAGATGGTGAAGCTGTTCATCGGGAACCTGCCGCGGGAGGCGACGGAGCAGGAGATCCGCTCCCTGTTCGAGCAGTACGGGAAGGTGCTGGAGTGCGACATCATCAAGAACTACGGCTTCGTGCACATCGAGGACAAGACGGCGGCCGAGGACGCCATCCGGAACCTGCACCACCACAAGCTGCACGGCGTCTGCATCAACGTGGAGGCCAGCAAGAACAAGAGCAAGGCCTCCACCAAGCTGCACGTGGGTAACATCAGCCCTGCCTGCACCAACCTGGAGCTGCGGGCTAAGTTCGAGGAGTACGGCCCCGTCATCGAGTGCGACATCGTCAAGGATTACGCCTTCGTGCACATGGAGCGGGCGGAGGACGCGGTGGAGGCCATCCGCGGGCTGGACAACACCGAGTTCCAAGGTGATCCGCGCCGGGGACAGGGCTGGGAGGATTCCCGGTATTCCCGTTAGATGTTTTCGCTCCCTCTTCCAGCTCCGGCTGCGCAGGTTGGGGTTGCAGCAGCAGCAGCAGCACGGGTGAGGCCTCAGCCGGCCCCACCGGGCTCGCCCACCCGCCCTTCCCTTCACTGCAATTGAGTGCAAATGGGGGGGTTTAGTTTGGTTTTTGCTCTCTTTTCCACATCCCATCTCCTGTTGTGCCGCACAAGGGCACGAGGAGGCCGTTCCCGGCGCGGTGCCGGAGCGAGGGCAGGGGCGTTTGGGGCTGGGGGAGGACGGGACTGACCCATCTCTGACTTAACCCAGCACGGCCGCCCCACAGGAGGATCCCGACGGCGAAGTCCCAACTCTTGTGCCGACGGCGCGGCGTGAAGCCAGGCTGCCGCCCGCCCTTGTAGCCTTGCCCTGCCTGGTAAGAGGGTGAGCGGAGGCGCCCGATCCCGCGCCGGCCGCGGCCCCGGTGCCGGCGGCACGCGGCATCGCTCGCTCGGGCTCTCGCCGTCTCGGCGCGGGAGCTTTCGCTGGCAGCCGCGGATGCAGCGCCGGGGCTGAGCGTCCGGATTCGAGCTCGTGGCGAGCGTGGTCTCCGGCCGGCCAGGGCGTCAGGGAGGTGTCCGGTGCTTCAGGCGGGGGTTCCGGCAAACCCCACTGCCCCCGTTCTGGGGTTCCCTCTCCCACCGGGATGGTGCAGCTGCATCCGGAGCTGCCGCAGCCGTGGTGGCATCCGTGGGACCCGCAAGTGCCGCAGCTGCGCTTGGCTTGCCTCGTGCCGTGTTCCGGGGTTGCCCGGTGTTGCCTCCGTCTTAACCCACCTATGGCGAGAGCGTTTTCCGACGGGAAGCTTGTGCGGGGCCAGCGGTGCCGCGGGCTCATCGCAGGCTGCTGCGGCAGCACCGTCGGGTGCTGGCAAAAAGCCGTCTTGGGCTGTGTACTGGGGTAGTTGTCGGCTGGTGGGGTCACCAGAGCCCAGCCTGGCTTAGCTGGGCATGGGCAGTTCTTGGTCTTACTGGTGTTCTCCTGATAAGTCAGGTTGCCGGTGGCCAGCTCCCGCTCGAGCCTACTGTGGGCTCCTCCTGCGCCGGGTTGCTCCCTGCCGCGGTGCCCAGTGCCATCGGAGGCTGCGTGAGGGTTGGGCTGCGGCCAGTCCCGTCCCGCTGGTGCCGGTGGTTGTGAGAAGCCTCTCAGTGCGGCCTCACTGATGGCTTCCCTCTCGCGTCTCTCTCCTCAAGGCAAGCGGATGCGCGTGCAGCTGTCCACCAGCCGGCTGCGGACGGCGCCCGGGATGGGAGACAAGAGCGGCTGCTACCGCTGCGGGAAGGAAGGGCACTGGTCTAAGGAGTGCCCGGTAGATCGCCCGGGGCAAGTGGCGGACTTTGCCGAGGCCTATAACGAGCAGTACGGAGCCGTGCGCACTCCCTACACCGCGGGCTATGGGGAGACCGTGTATTACGATGAGGCGTACGGCGGGATGGCCGACTACTACAAGCGCTACCGCGTCCGCTCCTACGCCACGGCCTCTGCGTACGACGCCTACGCGGAGCAGACCATGGCCCAGTACTCCCAGTACGCCCAGTACTCCCAGGTCCAGTCCTCGGCCATGGCGGCCACCACAGCCATGGCCAGTCGCATCCCCACCACCTTAGACGCGTACGATAGAGCTCTGCTGCCGACCCCGGGCGCGGCGGCTGCTGTCGCCGCTGCCGCCACCGCCGCTGCGGCGGCCGCCTCCTCCACCTATTACACCCGGGATAGAAGCCCCCTGCGCCGCACGGCCGCCGCGGCCACCACCGTCGGAGAGGCGTACACGTACGAGCGTGGGCAGCTGTCGCCGGTCTCCTCGGTGGCCCGGGCCTCCCTCTACGACCTGCAGCGGTTCGGGCGGGACCCGTACGCGGACCGGGCGCGGTACTCTGCCTTTTGAGCTGGAGGTGAGCGTGTTGGCACAGCTGCTGTGCGGCGGGAGGGGGAACCCCAGCTGCTGCAGATAATGGGGGGGGCTGCGGCCCCCCCACCAGGCACTGGTTGTGCTGGTCGAGCGTCTGTGCCTCTATGTGAGCCGGGATGAACGGCTGCGGTGAAGCAGGGCCAGGGCTTGCCGGGCGTTAAAGCCCAGGCGCTGGCTCTGGATGCTCTGCCCGGTGAGGATGTGTTGTGGCAGTCGGTGCTGATGGTGGAGCTGGTCAGTCCTGGTGGGTCGCTCTCCCTCGTGGCTCCTGCTGCTTGTAATCCCTCCGGAGCCAGCGCTGAGCCTGTGTGCTTTGCTGGCACAGCCACCGTGTGGTGGGGGGGTTCCCACAGAGCCGCCAGCCCTGTGTGCCGTGGCTGCCACACATATTCCCTGGGAATTGCTCCTGTCCGGGACAGTGCTCCTGGGATCTGCCTGGTAAAAGCCTCCACTGGCCGGGTTACTGCCCTGGCACGGGTCCTCCCAGGATGGCCACGATCCCAGTGCAGCCGAGCAGCCCCCGGCACCACGCCAGGACTCCGCTGTGTCTCAGGAAGCCGCGCTGGGGCTCGGCCCAGTCCCCGGCACCATCCCGGCGCCTGCGCCAACTCTGCTTTTCTCTTTTCAGGTAAGATATTTGCGGCTGGACGTCGGGTTCCCGTCGCACACCGAATCGGCACCGCGCGTCTCGGGCTGCGCCGGGCTTCCAGCCAGGCTCAGCCAATGAGTCGGTTCCTAACGGACGCTCAGCTTCTTCCCAGCTTGGTCAGGAGTAGTTTGAGCCCCTTCCATGTCGTGTCCCCCCCAGCCCAGCTTTTCCGTTCTTGTGGTCAGGATTTGCTTTTCAGGTAGTTCAGGGTCCCCTGTCCCCCCCTAGCTGGTCTAGGCTCAGGTGGTTGAGCGAGTGCAGCCGTAGCCATACCCGCAGCGCCAGCTTTGCTTTGCTTTGCCGCCCGCACGGAGCCCTCGCCAGAGCCTCCTTGATTATTATTATTATTATTTCTTTTTTTTTCTTTATTTTTTAAGAGGGTGAATAATCCACTTGTAGCTTTTCAGTCCCAAATGCCGCAGCTGACTGAGGCCGCCGCGCCGCACCAGCATGGGAGGGCCATCCTTGTGCGTGGAGCTCGTCCCGCGGCACTTAGTGTCCCCCAGCCCTACTGCCCAGTAAAATAAACTCCAGTTTTTAACAAACCCCCTGGCTCCAGCCCCCATTATTTCTCTGGACTCAATTCCCCCCATCTTACACCAGCTTATAGCCTCTTGGACTTACTGGTGCTGCCTGTGGCCCTGCCTGTGCTGAGGAGCTCCCAGCCAGGGTCCCCATGGGGTCTGCGCTGTAAATGAAGGGGCAATGAGCCTGGGGAGGACCCCAGCCCCACACACTGCCCTGCTAACAAGCAGGGGCTGGGTTTTGATGACATCCCGGCTCTCATCCCAGTGCCCCTATGCAGGGTAGCACACCCTTGGACCCTGCTGTCCTTCCTCCCCCTTCTATCCCAGGCAGCACCTGTGCAGCTACCTGTGAATTAACCTCATTAGGGCTCTAATTATTGCACTGCTCTCCCCTGTCTGTCGGTGCTTGCTTAGACCCAGGATCCTGCTTTCATTGACAGCCTGGCCCTTTGGGAGCCCCTTGTCACCTGCCGCTTCCAGGGTCACTCCACCTCATTTCCTTTGTGTGCTGACCCGCCGGCTCCTCCGTCACTGGGTGCACGTCTCCCAGCACCTGCCCTGGAAAAGGAGGGGAGAAGTGTTAGTCCCTTCTGTGCAACTCATTCCCACTGTGGTTACTGACCCCCCCATGGCACAACCGGGACTGTCACGGCTTGGGCAGAGACAACAGCATTGTTGGACACTGTTGTGGTGATAGGAAGAGTCAGGGCACAGTGCCACGCACACACAACCAGAGCAAACACAGACCCTGCTTCACTGACTTAAGTCTCACCTCCTAAAACCGGTATTTCTCACCCAAAAAAAGACACCAGGCACCAATGTGTGTGCGCTGTGGCACAGTCCAGCAATGCCATCGGCAATGCTATGGCACTTCCTGCTGCTGCCAAAACACCAATTGCGCTCTGAGTCTGCTAGCAGCTCTGGCGCTTACTGCACAGCACCGCACAAAGCCAGGTTCTTGGAGGTGGATGGAGCCAGTGCTGGTGTTACAAACCCCTCACCGATGGCATTGCCGGTGTCCCTGAAGCACTGGGGAAGGGAAAGAACCAAACAGGAGGCAGTTGGGAAACGGTGAAGAGCCCAACGTTTATTTACAGTCATACAAAACCTCGGTGCTGCGCTGAGCCGGCGCCCTGCCGCGGACTGACGCTGCCAAAGGGGGAATGAACCCCAAAAGGGGGAACTCGGTATAAAAGAGTGTGGGCTCTGCTCAGTGGCAACGACTGCCTGGGTTATAACCGGTGCCGATAGTTGAGACCGCAAAAGACGGCGCTACCACACTATGGCGGGAGGGGACGGTGAACCACGCGCCCGGCACCCAGCACCCGCTTTCCAACCGTAAGCATGGATCCTTCTAAAACAACTCCAAAAAAGAGAAAGGAAAAAGCAGCTAAAAAAGAACCGTCCTGCCCCTGGGGGCGAGAGCCAGAACCGAACCGTGCCGCGGCGCACGCAGCCTGCCCGCTGTCAGCGGCTCAGAGGCGGCGCTGGTAGCCCGAGTGGACGCGGGCGGCGGGCAGGTAATCGCCGTAAGTGCCCGAGTACCGGGCGTAATCGGGGTGCGCTTCCGGGAGGCGGCGGTAATCCAGCGGGGACTTTGTTGGCGAGCGGCGGTACGCGAGCGGCGAGTCTGCTAAGCGCCGGTAATCTGAGAGGTCAGAGAGACGGCGCTCGGAGCCGTACCTGCTCAAGAGAAGAGACACGTGGTGAATGAAGGGCAAAGTGCCCAAATCCACCACCAGCGGCCATGGCGTCCCGCACGGGGACGCACCGCAGCAGCACAACACCACCAGGCTGGCACTGGACACAGATCAGACGCTGCAGGAAGCCCCACCGCCGGCTCTACCACCCCGGACGAAGCCCCATCCCCACCACCCTGGCACACAGCACCCACCCTTCCACACGCCGGAGCTGACACTAAGCCCCTAGCTGGGCACTGGCACCCACCGGGGTGGCACAGAGCACACTGCGTGGCCACCCGGTGCCCGGCCCGGCGCCGTACCTTTTAGCCATAGCGGAGGATTTTTTGTATGGGTCGTCGTAGGCGGCGCTGCGAGGTGGAGAGAGGCGGGTGCGCTCGTATGGCGGTGCGATGGCGGCCTGTGACAGGCCCAGGTAGGAGGCCGTGGGCTGCCCCAGCTGGCTCGGCCCGTCGTAGGCGCTGCCCGGTTGGGCTCGGTAGGCAGCCGCCAGCGAGGCGGAGGAGGGCTGCTGCGCCGGGTAGGATGCCGCCATCGAGCCAGAGGGCTGCGGCCGGTACGCAGCCGTCAGTGGGGCTGACGCCTGTGCCTTGTAGGAGGCGTTGATGGCCTGGCTGCCATAAGCTGCCAGCGAGGAGCCCGCCTGGGCGCCGTAGGTGGCCGAGAGCGCAGTGACAGCAGACTGGCTGCCGTAGGAGGAGGGCAGGTTGGCGGTGGGCTGGGCACCATAGGCAGCAGAGTGACCGGCAACAGGCTGAGCACCATAGGGGGCCGAGAGCGCGGGTGCTGGCTGGGCGCCGTACGAGACTGAGTGGCCAGGCACAGGCTGGTAGGCAGCAGCGGCGTGACTGGCCACCGCCTGGGCACCGTAGGAGGTGATGTGTGTGGCCACAGCCTGCACGCCATAGGAGGCAGAGAGCGTGGCACCAGGCTGTGCACCGTAGGCGGCAGCGTGGCCGTCTATGGGCTGTGCGCCGTAGCCAGCAGCAGGCTGGGTGCTGTAGGAGGCCACATGCGTGGCCACAGCCTGGACACCGTAGGAGGCAGCGGGGCCAGCAGCTGCTGGGGCACCGTAGGCAACAGCGGTTGCAGCCTGTGCGCTGTAGGAAGCGGGGTAGGCGGAGGCAGCCTGCGCCCCGTAGGAGGAGACAATGGTGGCGGACTGGACACCGTAGCCAGAGAGTTGAGAGGCGGCAGGCTGCGTGCCATAGGAGGCAGGGGCCTGGGCACCGTAGGAGCTGAGAGAGTTGGCGGCGGGCTGCGCACCAGAGGCGCCGAGGGAGATGGAGGGCTGGGAGCGGTACGTAGCCCCCAGCGAGGCAGAGGGCTGGGTGCGGTAGGAAGCAGCCTGGCCGGTGGTGGGCTGCGGGCGATAGGCCACGCCGAGGGAGGCCGAGGGCTGGGCACGGTACGTAGCCCCCAGGGAGGCTGAGGGCTGGGCGCGGTAAGTCGCAGGCTGTGCTGTCATGGGGAGCGTCACTGCCGCGTAGCCGGCGCGGGTCGGGGAGCGCCGGAGTGGGCTGCGGTCTCTCCCAAAGTAGGAGGGGGAGACGGGCCTGGCCTGCGCCTCGAAAGCCTCGTACTTGCCGGCGCCACCAGTGCCAAAGCGCTGCTGGTAATCGTACAGGGAGGAGGCGGCAGCGTAGCCGGCATTGGCGGCTGAGGGGAAGGCAGCGTCGGCAACACGGCGCTGCTGGTCGAAGCCCTCGATCTTGGGCTGGAACTTCTCTCGGTATTCCAGGCCGATCCTCTTGGTCTTGTCAAGGCCGAGGGTGGGCGGCAGGGCCTGGCCTGCGCCCTTCTTCTGGACGTTGGTGGACAGTTCCACGTTCACTCTGCGCCCCTTCACCTCCTTGCCGTTAAGGTTTTCGATGGCAACCTTTGCATCTGCTTCGTTCTCCATGTGAACAAATGCATAGTCTGATAAAGCAGCAGACAGAGGATTATCAGTGAGGGGGGGAGAAAAGACAATTTGTTACAGGGTTGAATGCTTAAGGAGCCTCACGGGGGCCATGGTGGCTCAGCAGCAGCAGGACAGGCACTGCGACGGGCTTCGCCGGCCCTGCTCTACTGCTCAGGCAGCAGAGACAGAACCACCTTCATTTGCTTCCACCCCACAATGAATCTGGGCACAGCCTAACGCACCCAGCCTCCCGCTCAGCAGCCCCTGAACACCCTGGCACAGCTCTGGTTTGCTCTATTTCCCCCCGTTTTCACCTGCACCCCCACAGCTCAGCACCCTGCCCTGTGGCACAACAGCTCCTCCCTACCCATCTTCAGCACATGGGCACCAAGAGCCCCGGGGGCCCAACCAGGCAGTCCTGGCAGTAAGTGGAGCAAAGCCAGAGGAGGCCCCTGCCCACGGAGAGACATCGAGTCTCTGGCAGGAGAAAGAAAGCTGGAGAAGAGAGGCAAGGGAGGAGAGGGAGAGAGAGGCAGGGGATGAAGGAGAGGGGAGCACCCCAGCACAACCTGCAGCACTGTACCCCAGGGCGAGCGGCACAACACGACCTGGAAGCAGAGAGGTGGTGAAAGGAGATGGAGAGCGAGGCAGGAGCAGGAGAAGCGGGACCCGGAGTGGCTGTGCCAGGTCTGCGGCGGTACAGCAGATCCCCCTCTGCCCATCCCCTGGCACAGCTCTCACCACTGCACCGTGCCCACACCAGCCCCATGGAGTTGGGGCTCAGATGCCACCACAGCAGCCCTGTGGCACGACGGGTCCGGGAGGCCGGCACGGGGCTGAAGGGCATTCCTCCTGCAGCCATGGGCCAGGGGTCACCATAACCGGTACCACCGGTGACAAGCGTATGGCCAGAAGGCTACCGTATGGCTCAGCCAGGGCAGCCCAACCACAGGAGCGCAGCAAACCCAATCCTGGTACCTCAAACTCTGGCTAAACATCAGCACCGCTTCCCCCACCTCCTGCACGTCCCCCTCTGCTCCTCTTTCCCATCCCGCCCCTTCCTGGCTCCCATCCCACATCCACGTATCCCCGCTTCGGCAGCATCAGGAGGGGGACATCTTCTCCCTCCACCCCCAGCCCTCTCTGGGGGAACCCCACGAGTCAGCCACTGGCCAAAGGGATGCCAGAAGCTGTTGGCCCCGGTTTGGGGCAGTTTCTGATGGGCTCCGTTGGGAAGCTGTGACCTGGGACGAGAGAGCAAAGGCAACAACATCACCTCCCGCGAGGAGGAGCCGGCGGGGACAGGGACCTCGGGGGTGTCTCTGTGCCACGGGGCTGAGACCGTCCCCCGGAGCACTCGGTGCTGGGGGGGTCCCGGACCCGCGGTTTCACACCGTGTTCTCTCTGTGCTTTGG